TGAAACATGGCATATAAAGCGATGCGCAACCGGTATTTCTGGGCAATTTTATCCAAAGGGATTAAAGCAGTTTTAAAACAATTTCTTCCAATGCAAAAGGTGCTACGCGCAAACAATGAAAAAGCAATGCATCATGGCTGCCTGAACTTGCAACTATGATTGTCAAAGTAAATCAATTACTTTAACATGATATCATAATAAAAATGCAAAAAACACACAAAGCTAATAAACAAAATGAAAAAAAAATAAAGTGTTTTTAATTTTGAAAAATTTTGAGCTTGATTTTCTGCTATCGAGCCAATTAGGTATTCGATTTATTAAAACTCATAGAGCTTCAATCTGAGAGCAATCAATCTGAGAGCAATCAATCTGAGAGCAATCAAGCTACAAAAAAAAGCCAATGTTTTTGCAATAACGGTGAGATAGTTACTAATTCGTCCTCTCCATTTTGTGATCAAAATAAGGTTACACAAAAAAGAGGGCCACAAAATAAGTACCTCAAAAAAATTCAAATGCATACTCTAATAGATTCACGTTTAATGTCTCTTGGCATACCTTCAATAGAAATCCTGTTTGAACCAAAAGAGTTCACAGTTCTGTCAACAATCTTGGCGACTCTTTTGGAGTTGACAGCAGCAGGGTTTCTAGCGACTGGTGCTCTCTTTCTGACACCAACGGCTTTGGAAGACACTTTTGTGGCGCTTCTGGTGTTACCGTTGTTGTTGGTTCTAGAGCTTCTACCAACTCTTTGAGGTGTTTTCTTGGCAGTTTTTCTGCTACCAATGATTTCATCCAATGATTTATCTAGTAAATTAGACATTTATGCTGTGTTTTGAGTATATGTGTTTGTAAGGAGGTTTTGTTTTTCCTAAGTTTAGACTTTTGGTTTGCGCTTTCCATTTTTTTACAATATTAGACCTTTAAAATTATTAAACAATATCAAACACCTTCCAGATTGAAAAGTTTGATTGAAAAGTTGGATAGAAAAGTTTTCAATCTCAAGTCAACATTAAAGGTAACACTGGAAAAACAACAAATCAAAAAAAAAAAAACGTGCAATAGAATTTT